TCTACTATAAGAATATTTATTTTTGAATATTACGTATTTTATTTTAATAAAATCTTATAAAATATTTGAATATTATTTCCAATAATTTATTAAATTCATAATTATTATATTATAAATAAATCTATTTAAAAATTAAATCAAAACAGAAATTAATATATATATATATATATGTATTAGTTTAATGTATAAAGTTAGAATATAAAAATAAAAATGAATAATATATACATTAATAATGTTGTTTCATAAAAAAATAAAGATATGAATAAAATTATAAATAATTATATTAATAAGAGTGATGTTCATTTGGTTACCGCATGTACCTGCGTCTGCGTCGCAAAAAAAACATGTACATACGTCTGCGACGTCTTTTTTTCAAAATTCTTATTCGTTTTTTCTTTCAACTATCGCATCTGAAGTCAAATCCTATATTTGACGTCGTAAAATTTTCTGGCTATGTTTAAAATTGCGGGTGCATCTGTAAAACAAACAACATCTTATGAACATAATGCAGCCGCATACGCAGTCTCAAACACAACCGTAGAAAGCTGCGTCTGTTAAATAAACATCACTATTAAACAAAACATTACATAACATAACACACCAAGCTGTAATGCTATGTTTTATCAATTTGTCATAAAAAATTAAATATAAATAATTATAAAATGAAAATATCTGTGCGGATTAAAGTCTAACTAGATTTTGAACCCGCACATCCGTGCGGGTATTTTTTTCATTTTATATAAATATAACAAAACCTTTCAAATATATATGATTTACGTACATTCTATTGTTATATATTGTATAATTTTATAATCTTATAATTTTAATTATTTTTATATAATATATTGTTGTAAGTTTTATAATAAAAAAATATTCACATATAAGTTTTTATATAATGTATTTGTTGTGAGTTACAAAAATATATGTTAACTTTTTTGTATAAAAATATTATATGATTTAAAAACTTTAATATGTTTTAAAAGTGAGTGATATTTATTTATTTATTTGAATAAAAGAAAATTTTTAAAATAAAATATTTTTCTTTACCAATTTAATATATTTTATATTCATTTCACATAGCATTTTATTTTAATATAATGTAGAATATAACAAAATTATGAAATATAGCAATTTTTACTTTTAATTAAAATTAATATTGATACTTATATATATATTAATCAGGAAATTAAATAATGCATATTTTATAAAATATTTAAACTTCTTAGTAAGATCTTGTTAGATATTTTCTCAACAAATTTATTACTAATATCTTATTATTATTAAAATATTGCTCCAATTATATATATTTGATTGATTAATATAAATACTTAAATATGTCATATTAATGAGATAGTCCAATATAACTTTTTGTAGTAGATATAAATGGTACTTCTCTTTTAATAGAGAAGATATATCAATTTTTCATAAAAAAATAAATATAAATAATTATAAAATGAAAATATCTGTGCGGATTAAAGTCTAATAATCGATTAATCAGCATTGTTTTGGTTAGTCCACATGATATAGGTGAGACGAGCAGAGAAATCCACCGCTTTAAAAAAACTTATATATAATCAGAAGGAGAGAAGATAGCATAACGCACAAGCAAAATGAAATGAAGTATGAATTTTTTTCAATGGGAGATGGAGTTTATACAGTGTCTCGAGTCACCCCACATACAGTGCCAGGCTGCCGGCTCTCTTCTTTCGAACAATTCGTCAAACTTAGCCTCTATTCTATCCAACAACTTTAGATTTTTTCTTTTTTAGCTTGGTTCAAACAAATCTAAGTGTAAGCTATTCAAATCCAAAACCAGGTCTATCCATGTTTGGTGTCTGTGTTTTCTTCTGTTAATTACGTAATCCATCTCTCAACTGGTTTGGTTTGTTCCATGGGATTGAGCCACTACGTATTAGCAGATTTTGAAAATGAGATTGCTTTTTATAGACGATTGTATATTATAATTCATTATTTGATACTTATTTCTGTAGTTAGAATGTATTAATTATGTTTATAAAATATATATATATATATATATATTTAAAACTATTTTTTTATATTAAACTGTTTTATATAGTGCTTAATGCTTATATGTATATATATATTTAAAACTATGGTTTTATTTTAAACTATATATATATATATTTAAAACTATGATTTTTATTTTAAATTATTGTATAGAATGCTCAATGCATGTAAAATGTGAATACACTTTTATAAATATTTTTATCATATATTTTAATTTTATTTTACTTAAATAATATAATATTTAATTTTTCTTTGTAATCATAATTTTTTAAAGTTCATGGGTGATTCTTATATGTGTATATATATATATGTGTGTGTGTGATAGTTTAATAGTTAGATTTAACTTTTAATCACGATAAATATTTCGAGTCTTAATTAAAATTGAATATTTTTGTTAGATAATATAAAAATTAAATTAAATGTTATGAGTATTACTAACGTTAAGTAAATTTTAATTTCTTGTATATAGAGAATCTAGAGTAATAGATTTATCTTCTAATTTGTTTTATAAATATTTCTATAGTAGTAAAGCTTGTGTGATTCTATAATACTATAATTCGTAGATAGCATAATGATTAAAATTTTATGATGCATGTTGATTATATGTTCTATCATTTTAGGGGAATTCATTTACAAAAATCATTTCAAAAATAAAAATAAAGAATTCCTTTTTAAAACTATTATCAAAGAGTATAAAATATTCATTTTAACCTTTTTAAAATAAATAGAAAAGCAAAAAAGAATACACAAAATATCAGTTTTTTTATAACGTTAATCAATACATATGTGTTAAATAACATGTGGAAATAATTAAACAAGACTAGAATACTATTTTTATTGTCATAGATACTAATGACTCTTTTTGTTTGTCAAAAGGCTCTTAAAATAAAGTTTAGAAAAAGAAAAAAAAAGATACTACATAGTTTTCTTTAAACAATTCAATCATAGACTTTAATTGAAAACCAGCCTCAAACCAGGAAAATTACTAAACCGACACAAAACAGTAGACCATCAAACCAAGTAGAAAGAGACACTCATCTATACTATTATTTGCAAAGTGATTTTTCGCAATACAGCTCTCACGTTAAAAGTTAGAATGGTTAATATCGTTTATACCCTTAATGAATAAAATATATAATCTGCCAAAAATAAAAACGAATTTAATACTTATTTGATTAGATAAATGATTTCAATTAATAATAATGATAAGAATTATCCATAATCTAAATATATATTTAAAAATAAAAAGATAATTCCTATATAGATATTGTGTTGTTATCCGGAAAATATATTTTAATTAAAAAAAATCAAAAACTGAAAAACATAAATAAATATTCATAAATTAAAATTTTTAATTGTATATAATTTAAAAAATAAAATTGAAAATTTATAATATGTAATTATTTTCAAATTAAAAGAATATAATAATATAATATAATGATATATATATCTGTGAAGTTATTTTTCGCCTCTGAACTCACACGTTAAATTGAATTTATATTTATTTTTTATATAGTTAAACCTTAAGAAAATACGTGTTTGACAAATAAATTCAAATATATTGTATTATTATCTAAACAAATGTTATTCTTTATGTAAGATCAATTTTTAAATGTAAATTTATCGATTCAATTTTTCAAAATTTTTTATCAATTAAGAAGAAATGAAATAGACTTTAATTTTTTCAAAGTTTCAAATGAAAATTAGTTTTTAAATAACTTTATCATGTAAATTTTTTTAATGTTTTAGGTCGAATTTTTTGGATGCAAATAATCATTTATTTTTATGTTTTTTAAATTGATTTAAAAATAATTAAACTTATTTGATGAGATAAATTATTTAAATTAATAATAATGATAAGAATTATCCATAATCTAAATATATATTCATATAAAAATATTTTAATGTTTGATTTAGGTTTTTTAAAACTATAAAAAATAACTTATAATATTATTTTAGAATGAATAAAACAAAAATAATAAATATTCGTAAGAAAATTAAGCCCGCATGTGCGGGCAAAACAACTAGTAGATTGTATAATACTATTGTAGGGTACATATGCTCATGCCCACATTTAAAAACATAACATTATTGAAAGTATTAAATGAAAGCAGTCAAAATGATAAAAATCTGGCATTCTTCTTCTTATTGGTTTTGGAAACTTTTACCTCTTTTCCCTTTTTGTTTGAAAATCAAAACTCAGTCAAACTGTGGGTTTTACTACTATTGCTACTCAGTAGTTTCCCTTATTTGCTTTCAAAGTTCTGTTGATAAAAGGAAGAAACCCCTGATTCTCCTGTTCGCTTACTATTTTCTGATGTTAAATAGAAAACCCAGTGGCTTGCTATGTGTGTCAGTAAATAGATACTTACCCGTGAAATGCTGTGTTATTAGACTCTTTTTAAACCGTTGAAAGTTTCACTCAACATTTAAATAAGCTGTAATTGTTATTGGGAAAAAGCTAGCATTAGTAATGATAATTGAAGGATGAAACATTTAAGGAAGTCTAAAGATCTTGGTATTAAGAATATCAATTCGACATTCAACGCATACGACTTATATATGAATGTGATACGTTTAAGCAATAGAATAGATCCTATCAGATTTATATTCGGATTAATGCAACTGTTCTATTTGGCTAAACATTGGTCATCTGTTGACCAAATTTTTACCACAAGGATTTTAACTTATTGAACCCGGTTTAGTACTGAATATGTTCACAAACCAAAATCTGAAGGCATCGTCAATCAATCAACAAACTAACAGTGCATGTGTTTGTTGCTTTGTTCCATTATAAGATGTAAAAATTTTGGTCAAAGCTAAAAGCCTAAAATGAACAATTCAAAGGAGATAACAAGTACTATATAATAAAAAGAACAAAAATAAAATGAAATGAAAGAAATGAGAGGAAAGATTGAAGTGACACATAGAAGGAAAAGGCTAGTCTCTGAGCCTCTCCTCTGATATGTATTCTCCTATTCTGTCTTCCTCACTCTGTCTTGTTCCTTTCACACTCCTCTCAATTTACCATTATAACCCCTTAGTCACCCCCCTCTCTCTCTCTTTCTCTAACCATAAATGCTTCTTCTTCTACTTGTCTCTGTGTTTCTTATCATAGTCTTGTTATTATTTCCCTAGACCCAACCTCTGTTCTGTTTTCAAAATCTTCAACTTTCACTAGACCCACATGAAAGTTTCTACTGTATGGTGAAAACTCCTGAATTAGAAAAACCAACATGATCACTATCTACAATCTTACCTTTCTTCTCCTTGTTTTCATCTCCCCACAAGTCTCATCCTCTCTTCTTCAACCTGTCCAGCCTCCGAGTTCTCCTCAAGTAATCAACTCATCGTTATCTTTCACTCATATCACTTGTCCTCATTTTTCACTTTGATTGATCTAAAGTAAGTGGTTTTCTTCTTGATTTTAGGTGGCTTTGGTAGAAGTCAAAGCAAGACTAGGTTCTAGACCACCGAGCTGCCATAACAGATGCAATGGCTGCCATCCATGCATGCCCACTCAAGTTCCCAGTCTCCCTAGTCGCTCCCGATTCACCCGAGTTGGCCCGTTCTCCGGTGGATTTGTACGGCCTCCTTCCTCACAAACCACCGTTCTCGGTCAGTATTCTAACTACAAGCCCATGGACTGGAAATGCCACTGCCATGGCCATTTTTATAATCCTTAAATCTTCATCATCCTCTGGTTTGATCATTTTTTAGTTAACATTGCTTTTTGAATTATTGAGAGTAGAAGTGTCCTTTGGATTCTTTGTACATAATCAAAAATTCTCGATTATTGCATTTGCAGTAACTACTTACATTGCGTCATTCATTTCTTTCAACATTTTTTTTGGTTTTGATATTTTCAATTCAATTACTAAACTATAAAACTGCTTTCTTGTTTCCTTAACGTTTGCATGTTCATAATTTTTTTCAACAGCTTTTTCAGCTTTTAAATTTTTATACTGACAATTATTCAAACAATTTACCGTTTTGTATTTAAATATAAATACAAATTCAACCAAATTTATTTAAATTTGGAAAGAATGAATAAGATTTGATTTGAGTGGGACAACTTATAATTAAATATTTTGGAAAAGAATGAAGAGGATTTGATGTGAATGGAACAACACACTGTCAAAATTGATTAATCAATTTTGTCTCACCTGCCGCGATGTCCTACACGTCACTGTTTGAGTCTCTACTCGTGAATCTGTAGACCCATTTCTGAGCAACGCAAGGCAAGGCTCAGTACAATTATTGGCATCGCTTTTAAATTTTTGTTTCTTTGTTTTCTAGCTTCAAAAAGTAACCAATTAAACCATAACTATGTTCATTAAATAACTATGGAGCCAAAAATGTATTTATTTTCTCTTCAGGGTGAAATTGTATTTGCCAGCATCACCATACAGCTTCATGTTTATAAATTTGTTACAAGAACCAAAAAAATCTAGAATATCGAAAGGATGGTACGATTGAAACTGTGTAGAGCCACATGTTTTATTTCATCAAAACCTAAAAGTTTAGTTTAGGAGTCCTTTAAAACATTACTTGTACTCGGCGGCGATAGCAGAGAGACTCAAAGAATTGTACCGCCAGCTCCAGACTCCAGGTTAAGCGTTGTGAACTACAACAAAGTGATGTTTTCTCTCTATATGTCTCTGAATCGACGATTATTGTTTGTTTGTTTCGTTGGTTCTTGCGTGTTGGGAAAATATGCGGTTATGATATTATTATTTATATAACTGGATATATAGTTCACACATGCCTTACGTTTGTAGAAATGGAACATGGTTTCTCATACGGCAATGGTAACATGGTTCTCGTCAAGAGATTAAAGGAGTTCTATTTCATTTATAGAAATCGAACATTAATCACAGTTTAAACTAAAGATGCATTAGTTTGTACAAAAGTTTTTTTTATTTGAATAAATTTAACATTCTTTAAAAAAAAAAAACAACATTCATGGTAAGACATATGTCGACTCCGTTGAGAACTTGAGATAGAATCGTAATAATATATAGTGTTACAGATCTAGACAATTGTTTAGCAGGCTGTATGAGAAAACCATCAGTAATGTAAAAACAGATCTAGACAATACGTTTCAGTAATGTAATATTGTTTTTTTTTTAAACATAATGTAAAAATTGTTTAAAAAAATACATTCAATAATCAGTATACACAGACCTTTAGACCATTTGAGGTAAAATGTGAATTCATGTCGGTCCAATTTAATAACGGACACAAACACATGTAGATAATTTGACATTCTCGATTTGATGGAGTGCAAAAGCTAAAACGTAACAAAAACGTGCGCATTTTGATCTAGTCTGGCTTTACTTTTAGTTAACCAAAGTCATATGATCTAGTCTGCTCCGGTTAACCCGAACAACCAATTTAAATTAAAATGATTAAAAACTATCATATATTATTTTGGCTTTACTTTCTTGACGTTATAAAATTAAACTAGAGTTATGTTTTGCATACACACGTAAGTTTGTTACCCATACATCATAAGTGGTGTTGTTTGTCAGTACGTGTCATACATACCTAGCTACGATGGTAAACATCTGGTTAACGACGCAAAAACAGAAATAAACAGCTAATACAGATGTCTTTAATTAATACTCCTTCTATTTATAAACAGGTTTCTTAGATTATTTACGTTTATTAAAAATAGAAATATTTCTAACTAAACTTTATTTATTATATAATTTTTAACAAATATTAATAAATAGTATTAAATTAATTTAAATATGGTTGACAGGATAATTAATTTAAATATGCTACCTAATGGTCTTTTAAAATAGACAAAAGTATATTTAAAATATAGAAATTTTTCTTTTTTTAAAACAAAGAAATTCTTCAAGAAATTAATTATGGGAGGGAATATATAGCACATAGTTTATACAACGTCATAGTACTAATCACACTCCAAACATCATTATCAAAGTTAACTAATTGTTTTTTTTAAATATAATAATTACTAGTAGCAGGCGTGGACCAGCATCAGACTTTTCCGCAGACATCTGCCATTAGCGAGAGAGTGATAATTGCCGATTTACCAAACAAAAGTCATACAGAACACAAAATTAAAAAGACAAAAGCTTTTTTTTTTTTTGGTTAGCTTTTTCTTGTTTGTTCTCTTTGGTTCTGTTCCCCTGTGTGAATCTTTCGAGCTGCCAAGTTCTGTTTTTTTCTTCTTCGGTACGAGGTTTGTGGATCCATGTTCTTTCCCTTTTTTCCTATTGCCTAAATCTCACTTGTTCTTCGGCTTAATTTGAGCTATTTTGGTCATTAAAATAATTCTGGGAAACTGAGCAAGTTCGAGTTCTTAGTTCCCTTTTGACTCTTTTTTCTATGCGAAGTCTCTTGGTTTGAATAGTCAAAGCTCTTAACTTTTTTTTAGCTATTTACGGTTGAATTTAGAAAGTCTTTTGATTCATAGTTAACGAGAATTGCTTTTATTTGTCAGATCCATTTAAAGTAAGAAACGTTTCTTGCAGATGGAACCACAAATCCAGTTCATTAGATAACAACATGTTCAGCTTGCAGAAGATGGCTATGTCTTTGACAGTGTTGGTTTTTGCCTGTTTATTGTCATTTGTGTCACCAGATGCTCAAGGTGATTGCCCATTTTCTTTTACTTACATTAAGAAATCTTGGATTAGTTGAAGTATGTTTACTTTCCCTTAACTCGTTTGCGTTTTCCCATTTCAGGGGATGCGTTATTTGCACTTAAGATCTCGTTACGTGCATTGCCTAATCAGCTTGGTGACTGGAACCAGAATCAAGTTAATCCTTGTACTTGGTCCCAAGTCATTTGCGATGACAAAAACTTTGTTACTTCTCTGTAAGTTTGATCCATAACACTCAACCTGTGTCACTCTCCAAGTAAATAATTTATATTTATTGGCATTTTTTTTATTTTTTTTCAGTACCTTGTCAGACATGAACTTCTCAGGAACCTTGTCTCCAAGAATAGGAATCCTTGGAACTCTCAAGACTCTGTAAGTTCCCTAACATGAACCTCTCTTTTAGATGCGTTCCTACTAAGCATTTTGTTGTCTCTCTTTCTATATTTTTAGTACGTTGAAGGGGAATGGAATAACGGGTGGAATACCAGAAGAGTTTGGGAATCTAACTAGCTTGACTAGTTTGGATTTGGAGGACAATCGGCTTAGTGGTTTTATACCATCCACTCTTGGTAACCTCAAGAAACTTCAGTTCTTGTAAGTAGCTTTTTTTCTCCCAATGCTGCACATGTTACATAGAGAGCGAGCATGTGTCTTTATTCACTGTGTATTTGGCCAAGCAGGACCTTGAGTAGGAACAAGCTTAACGGGACTATCCCTGTGTCACTCACAGGTCTTCCAAACCTGATAAATCTGTAAGTTTACTCTTCTCTCTCTCTGTCTTAAAAGCATTCTTGTCTTAATCACATTGTTTGAAACTACGTGTTACAGTCTACTTGATTCCAATAATCTCAGTGGCCAGATTCCTCAAACTCTATTTCAGATTCCAAAATACAAGTACTTTCCCACTACTTTAAGTTGAATCTGTTTTTTTTTTTTAAAGCAGTAATCTGATATGGTTTTATCGAACTATAGTTTCACAGCAAACAACTTAAATTGTGGTGGTGGTCAATCTCACCCTTGTGTATCTGAGGTTGCTCGTTCAGGTAGCTACATTACTTTTGCCATTGCTTGACCAATTTTTTTTATTTAAAGTTTTTGCTCATGATGTCTAGTCTTGTGGTGCTAGGTGATTCAAGCAAGCCAAAAACTGGCATTATTGCAGGAGTTGTTGCCGGAGTTACATTGATCCTCTTTGGAATCTTGGTGTTTCTGTTCTGCAGGGATAGACATAAAGGATACAAACGTGACGTGTTTGTTGATGTTGCAGGTTTGTCATATAACCCATTTGATGATAAATTGCATAGTTCTAAAGATCGGTCATAGTCAGAAACAATTTTTTTAAAATATCCAAACTGTATATATCTATCTCTCAGGTGAAGTGGACAGGAGAATTGCATTTGGACAGTTAAAAAGATTTGCATGGAGAGAGCTCCAACTAGCTACAGACAACTTCAGCGAAAAGAATGTCCTTGGTCAAGGAGGCTTTGGTAAAGTCTACAAAGGAGTGCTTCCAGATAACACCAAAGTCGCTGTGAAAAGACTAACAGACTTCGAATCTCCTGGTGGAGATGCTGCTTTCCAAAGAGAAGTGGAGATGATAAGTGTAGCTGTTCACAGAAACCTACTCCGTCTTATAGGTTTCTGCACCACTCAAACAGAACGCCTCCTTGTTTACCCCTTCATGCAGAATCTCAGCCTTGCACATCGTCTCAGAGAGATTAAAGCTGGTGACCCGGTTCTTGACTGGGAGACTAGGAAACGTATTGCCTTGGGAGCTGCTCGTGGTTTTGAATATCTTCATGAGCATTGTAATCCTAAGATCATACATAGAGATGTGAAAGCAGCAAATGTGTTATTAGATGAAGATTTTGAGGCAGTGGTTGGTGATTTTGGTTTGGCTAAGTTGGTAGATGTTAGAAGGACTAATGTGACAACTCAGGTTAGAGGAACAATGGGTCACATTGCACCTGAATATCTATCTACAGGGAAGTCATCAGAGAGGACCGATGTTTTCGGGTATGGTATCATGCTCCTTGAGCTTGTTACAGGACAAAGAGCTATAGACTTTTCACGTTTGGAGGAAGAAGATGATGTCTTGTTGCTTGACCATGTATGTATATGTATAATCATATCACCTTATTAATTAAACTTAACCTTTTATTTACTAACATAATCTTTTTGTTTGGGACAGGTGAAGAAGCTGGAAAGAGAGAAGAGATTGGGAGCGATTGTAGATAAGAATTTGGATGGGGATTATGTGAAAGAAGAAGTGGAGATGATGATACAAGTGGCTTTGCTATGTACACAAGGCTCCCCTGAAGACAGACCAGTGATGTCTGAAGTTGTACGGATGCTGGAAGGAGAAGGTCTTGCGGAGAGATGGGAAGAGTGGCAGAACGTGGAGGTCACGAGACGTCATGAGTTCGAGAGGATGCAGAGGAGGTTTGATTGGGGTGAAGATTCTATGAATAACCAAGACGCCATTGAGTTATCAGGTGGGAGATGACCAAACATCAAAAGGGATCTTGATTTTTACTGTAAAGTTTTTGGTTCAGACATTCAGTAATGTCAAGTGTGTGTACATGTTTTTGTTTCATGAGGTATCTTTTGACTTGAATACTGTGTAAGAGATTGAGCCATTAATGTTTTGATTGTTACCTCTTTTGAACATACAGTTTTATTTGACTTTTCTCGTTGACTCCCTTTTGGAATTTGGGGTCGTGCATAATAATGTCACTGGGGATTTGCCAATAAAATACAAACTAATTTTTGTATAATCAAATGCGACTTCTCTTTCACGTAATTAAAATAAAATATACTTTTGACCAAAAAGAAAAAGAAAAAAATATATATATATATATATACTTATCTGTGCACAAAGAAGTCAAACTGTATACTCAATGAGTGAGTGATTACATTTTTTTAAACCTAACGAGAGAGATCCTTTAATATGACATCACATATCTGTTTTATTATTATTATTAAATAACTACTTGCCCTTTCTATATTTATCGCTAGACAGACGATCACATGGTTCTTTCAGTTCTTCCATTATTTGTTCTTGGCCAAACAAAAAGATAAGTGCATGATCATAAGCATAACTATCAATGATTTTGCAACAAATCAACATCTAAACTCTAAATTGTATAGTCGTTATAGTCTCTCTCGACATTTGAATACGTGTTCTTCACATGTGACATTATATAATATGCTTCTCAGCTCTAAGACTAATTTCAGTCTGTTTGATCTTTACTTCGTAAGAAAAATAATTAAAGAGATCTATACCCAAACATGATTCGATTGTTTGTAAACAGGAATAGTATACAGAAAATATCCAAATAATAAAAGAAAACCCTAATTACAACTAGAAGTGACTCCACTTCACAAAAGTCATCTCTATGTATAAAAGCTCGGCAATAAGGTAAAAACATATGCTAAAAGAGCATTGATAATTAACAAACACACATACGAGTTATGGAACCTGTACTATACTGTACATGCTACAACATAACACACATATATATATTACATGCCTACAAGGTATATAGATAATGCAAGTAATTGTAACACCTTAAGTGACAGACATAAGCACAGTCCCAATGCGTAAATTCAACTTTCGAGTTCCTCCAAAACATACCAGAAAGGACATAAGAAGGCTAAGGAATAATGTCGGAAAATATGGAATCATCCAAAAGATGATCAGGCCATGCAGCTGAAGCTGAAGCTCCTGACTCTTGACTTGAAGAGGTGAGATTGCTATTGACATGTTCAAGACCGTATTGGTTTCTAATCATATCATCACTCAACTCAGAGGAAGGAGCAAGAGAAGGTAACATGTTCTGGTTTGAGTTGGTAGGATCCGAGAGCCAGATTGGAGATACAGGTAGGTTCTCTCTTTCATTGAAGAACTTAAAGTGATTGTCCTCAGGGTTTTGAGGGAAAACAGATGATTGCCCCATGTTGGAGTTTAAGGTTTTTAGGGATGGTAAGTTGTTGAAGTCCTGAAGATAGGAACCAAGGTCTAGATTACTGTTGCTGGTTGTGTCTTTGAAGGTGGTAATAGAGTTAAGGAGACTGAGAATGTCAAAGTCATTAGGGTTGTTAATGTTGTTATTCATGGTAGGTGGTTGAAGGAGGTATTGAAACAACTGGAGCTTGGCCATCTCGGTTTGGAGTTTCAGTATAGTTTGGTCTTGACCACTTGGGAACTGTTGATGAATATCAACAAAGCCTCTTAGGTTAGAAGACAGAGACAAGAGCTGAGATAAGCTGGAGAAGATATCAGTTCTTGGCTGGTGAGTCATTGGGTCAATTCCCATTTGGATCAGCTTTTTCTTCAAATGAGTGTTCCAGAAGTTCTTGATCTCGTTATCTGTTCTCCCAGGTAAGTGGTTTGCAATCGTTGACCACCTTATAACATCATCATCATCATCATCATAAGCAAGTAGTACAAGAAAAAACAAATCCGTTGACTATAAAATAAAATAAAAATCAGAAAATTAATTACTTGTTTCCAAGAACTGCATGAAGGTTCAAGATAGTTTGTTCCTCGTCAGGAGAGAATCTCCCTCTCTTGATGTCAGGTCTCAAGTAGTTCGTCCATCTTAGCCTACAACTCTTCCCACACCTGTTAAGACCTATAGAGAGATACACAGTCACATGAGAAGGTTAAACTCAATAAAACTTAAACTCAATAAAACTCAATAAGATATAACAATTGGTACCAGCAAGTTTAGGAAGAGCTCTCCAGCTACTATGGCCATGTTTTTGGACATAGTTGACAAGTTTCTCATCTTCTTCAGGAGTCCAAGGACCTTTCTTGAGACCAGATTCATCACTTGAAGGAGATCTTCCCATGTTCGCTGATCTCCTCTTATCTAATCAACAACGGTCCTCCCTCTAATACTGTTATAATTTTTCTCTGAGGTTTGGTCGCTTGCCTCCTTTCTTCACAACCACTAACTGCTTCTTACTTGTATTTATATTAAACCTAGCACCCTTTTTTTTCTCTTCATGTCTCCATTCGTCACGTGCTTCTTTCCTATTCGCTTACCAAAACAACCCATGTCATTTTCACCTTTCAATTCCATTTTTCTAATTATTCTCCTCCATTATTCTCTCACATACGCATCCTTACCAGTGTGAATAAATCATTCAATGTAAATTCTTCTTCTTGTCTTAAGCAATATCAGTATCATCTGGGGAATAGCCGCATTCAATAGACAAATTAAGAGTCAAACACATATCAATTGATCTCTTATTTTTGTCTTTAAATGGGAAGCAGTTCATCAGTTGCCATCACTATGCCCTAGTACCAAACCCTGCATCTGTCAAGAAGAATAACAACACATAGTTATTGCTTGGTTTCTTCATGACAAGTCCCAATATACAGTTTTATTTTCCATAAATGAGGCTATATATCATACATGTTATTAGAAGTTCCTGCTACTATAAGATTTTACACACACACAAAACACAAATCAACTTAAGCTAGAGGGTTTCATCATTAAGATCTTCTCCGAGTAGGTAATAATATATAGAGAGATGGGCAACAAAAAGATATTGACAGGAGGAGAAGCTGTTAGCTATATTTTTTAACCAATGCAGACAAATCGAAAGAGAAAGGATTTGAAATATAATTAAGTCAGCGCCAACAACACATGGCAACAAAAGGGTGGCCAAAGAGAGACATCTCCTCTTGCACGCAAGATACGTTTCCACGCATCATCCACTTTCATGGCTAATATAATTTATGGATACCTAGCTATATACTCCCTCCGTATTTGAATATATGATGTCTGAGTTAGTTTTCTTGTATATAAAAGATTGATGTTTGAGAATATAATTAATGTATTTATCTTTAAAATTAAACATAAATCTATAGATAAAATTATGATTGGTTGAACTTTATTGATAAAACCAAAAGACAATAACTAAAAGAGTTAATTTATTGTTTCTTAATATATGTGCAAAACCTTAAACATCATACTTTTAAATCCAGAGGGAGTATTATTATTGTATATTCTTCATAATCGACTAAAGCTACGACCAACAAACTAAATAAAAATCAAGAATGAACCCTAGGAGCTAATAGCTATTATATTGTCTCTGATGATATGAATGTTTCAAGAATATTAAAACTAAAATAAGTCCAAAGCTATAACGTAGAAAATAAAAGATGCAGAGTGGGTTATTTCTTGTTTGACACATCATGAGAAAGTCCTGGTATAGCGAAACTTAGGTAATACTACAGATAAGTTGACAAAAAAAAAAAGGTAATACTACAGATATTTCCAACCCGTAAAATGCCTTTTCTAGGAAGAAAATTTGCCAAATGAAGAAACCTACAACAGTGAGAGCATATAACTGCTACATAGAACTTATCAGCATGTGTTTCGTGTCATTTTGTTGCTATAAATAGGAAGAACTGTGACATGAGAAGATGCAAATAACAATAGAACCATGAAAATGTTAACAAGAAATTAATAGTAACACTAGAATGAGTTGCCATTGCTAACCAAGCATCATATTCTAACTCCATTCAATGAGAATCCAATTGATGAGAATTAAGAGATCAATAGTAATGGATAGACAAATATGGAGGACAAGGTAACAGTGGTAAGTTTTGTTAATATCAAAAGAATAACTTACTATCAGTGATGGTGACAGGCTTGATGTGATGGATTTTGACCATTAGGGAGGAGCTGGTTAGAGGAGAGGTGGGTGCAAAAAATCATCTAAATCTCCACCATCTTTAAAACCTAAAAGACTTTCTCCCTCGGCCTAAAAAAATCAGCCAATTGCATATCTTGAGTTTGTCTTTTTCTTATGTGTCTTCTTTATAATGAAGATCACAGGTTTCGTGCAGAGTTTCAAACTGTAAGATATCATATCAAGAAATAAAATCTAATTACGAAACATAGAAAAATCAAACAAGAAAATGTTTTACCAAATGAGGGCATCAAAATCTGTCAGTTTCAAGAAGATATTCAATAATAGACAACTTTCCTGAGCATACAATTCCAATAATAGACCAACATGCAAGTAACTATAGTAGTATTTGTTATATTTTCATGTAGAGAATATCAGAAGCCTATTATAATGAAGCCCTTTTATCAATTTCATTATACAAAAAAAAAACCCCAGGGAAGCATCCAGATGTTAACGTGTAGAGTATGATTTCATCGTATCCAAATGAAATAATCCCAAGACCATGTATCCTAGAGGTTAAAATGGTTTAAGCTTGTGAGTATCATCATGTATACCTAGGAGATATACAAGCCTACTAACTTTCAAATGGGGTTTAAAAAACGAGAACTCTTACAAAAGTATTAATTAAATTTGTGGAAAGAGGGATTTGAATTGCTTGTTGAATTAGGGTTCCTCGCAGAGTGGACCACAGTCTCGAATAGAGGAAGCAGGTACAGAAAATACTAAAGAATTAAGGAAGGCACTAGGTTCTTACAAAACTATTAATTATGATATATGTGATGTCACTTAAACCGTTCTCTTCTTCTTATTAAAAAAACAACTTGGTTGTAAATGTCAGCTAAACAACTGAATTGCTTCTTCTCCTAAGTTTCTAACCAACACGTCTAAATTCTCGGACTTTCTATGCCACTAATGAGCATGTTTAACCCTTTCCTTTTGTATGTAAATGTGAATATACCTCTAAGCAACCTATGCATTTACCTGAGCATTTTGCAACCCATTCTAAAATTCAATAAAACACACAAATAAGGTGCGTAGGGTTTATCTTTATAAGGTACTTACACAAGACAGAGGAAACCAGAATGCTCGTGTTTCAGATTTGATCAGCATCATTGAGGTTTTTGAAAGAAATTCCAGCAAGTTACCTAAGTGGTCACTGTAAAACCAAGAAGAACAAACATCACACGTGTAACATTAAGAACATGTATATACGTATAATCCCCAACATCTCGTTTCAACAGTTCACATGCTACCACTACTAGCAACCTTATTGGAATACAAGATGGGGACAGGAAATCTATTTGGTAAGTTTTCTATAATCTGTAATCAAATTAACGGTGGTTACGTATAGAAGGGATTAGTTGTATACGATAGTGGTTTAAAAGGCATTAGTCTTTGTAACTCAAATTATTATTCAAATCCAGAAAGTGAAACTAGAAATCACCATTCAAAATCTTCTTGCTTACTCAATTCATTTAGAATACAAAATTAGCATATAGTTTTCTCAACCGTCACGCCCAACATTGCTGGAGCATCCGGTACGTAGAAAAAAGCATCATCACAAGAAACCTCGAGAACATGACAAAATGAAAAAGGAAGAAGAAGAATGTCTACCATTAATTTTATAGAGTCAGTCAAATACTATATGAACTAAAACGTGTGGTCTTACGTGTTGTTTTTCGTTAACTATCAACCACTAAATGTCATTTTAGGTGGCTGAACTTCTTTTGTCGTGGACGTCGTTTTACAGCTAGAGACAGTGAAAGACATGGATGCTAACAATGGAAGAATATGCCATCCAAGAGCTCTATAGATATATCGATTTGGATGCAACAATGTTATCTATCATTTAGCATGATATATACTCACCAACAAAGAAAAAATAGGTGAAGAGGAATTATAACGAGGTATATAGTTTCTGTAAATGCAAAAAGAAGAAAACTATTGACGAATGTGTATTTAATCCCTATAAACCAAGTCTCTCAAGGACTAGATGAAATCTAAATTTTACTTAGTTAAGGATAACCTGCAGTAAGTTTTTGTCCAAAGTCTAGAGGCAATAGGGAATGCAGGAAATGAAATCATCATAAGTAATGAGATTAGGAACATCAACGAAAATGAAAAGCAACTATGATTTCAGGATGTCATAATTTACTCTATTTTTTAATTAAGAATAATATGTCTTGGAACAATATACCATATATATGAAATTCAGTATTTTACTTTACCAGATATTTCAAGACGGATTACTTCTCTCTTTCCATTTCTGTTCAATATTTCTTATGTCTCGGCCTACTTTAAGGTATTCATATCATTTGCTTTCTGTGATTGTACCTGCCATGGAAAATAGATTCAAACAGTTTATCTTGAGCTCACTGCAAATCTTAGAAGAGAATTACACCACACAAAAGCATGTTATGAAAGATTGTAAGTTTAGGGTTGTCCAACCTCAGATTTGTTAAACCCAATATAGCAAAGCCCAAACTGAAATCCCCATGTAGATAGCCCATGAGCTCAGAGGCCTCTAGCTATCAACAAATAAGATTGATTAGTTATAAGCAAGGTTAATCAGGCATCATAAAGCAAGGCAGATACCATATACTAATAATAAACCAACTACTCCTTATATTAGTAAATACACATCATCTTTGCTATATTGCAGATAGGTAGAATAAAAAATGTTTAGCACCAAAAAGGATTTGTAGTGGCTATCTATCTCAACTCGGTTCCTGGTTTGAGTTTGCCAAGTTAGTAGTGCCTTCTCAGTTCTCACTAAAAGCTATTATAGGGGTTTTCAAAGGTCCACCTTCAGCATATCCTAAAACTATGGTAAGAATTAGTGTATATGTTTAGTATTTCACAAATCTTTGCTAACATCTAGACAACATATATAATACCTTTTTGGAAATTTGAGCTTTACTATGAAAAGGAGATGAAGTCAGTACAACTACAAAGTATTACCAAACAAACGATATTTGTCCAGTAAAGAATTTTAAAAATAAGAATATAGAGTCCAGCTTTTCACCTTGACAAATGGGGGACAAGTGACACAGCTGAAAAAGTTAAATAACTTTACCACTCATGTGATAAAGGTGGAAAGGTAGAATTGTGTCATCTTTTTTGTGAATGAATATGATATTCCCTAG